CACTGAGCTCCTTCAAGTAAACAAGCAATGGGACCAGCACTTCCGGTCCATGAAGCAACAGTATGAGCAGAAGATCACTGAGCTGCGCCAGAAGCTGGGTGATGTGCAGAAGCAGGTGACTGACCTGGAGGCTGAGCGTGAGCAGAAACAGTGAGACTTTGACCGCAAGCTCCTCCTTGCCAAGTCCAAGACTGAAATGGAAGAGACTGACAAGGAGAAGCTGACAGTGGAGGCCAAGGAACTGTGCCAGAAGATCAAGTACCTGCAGGACCAGCTGAGCCCACTCACTCGCCATCGGGAGTACCAGGAAAAGGAGATCCAGAGACTCAACAAGGCCCTGGAGGAAGCGCTGAGCATCCAGAACTCCTCATCGTCGTCACCAGCAGCAGCATTTGGGAGCCCAGAAGGAGCAGGAGCCTTAAGGAAGCAGGAGCTGGTCACTCAGAATGAATTGCTGAAACAGCAGGTGAAGATTTTTGAGGATTTCCAGAGGGAGCGTAGTGATAGAGAACGAATGAATGAGGAGAAGGAAGAGCTGAAGAAACAGGTGGAGAAACTGCAGGCCCAGGTCACCCTGTCAAATGCCCAGATAAAAGCATTCAAAGATGAGGAGAAGGTCAAAGAAGCCCTCAAACAACAGAAGAGAAAAGCGAAGTCTGCAGGAGAACGCTATCAGGTAGAACCCCACCCTGAGCACCTGTGGGGCCTACCCGTACATCTATCCACCCATGCCAGCCATGGCACCACACCACGCCTTTGAAGACTGGTCCCAGATCCGCTACCCTCCACCCCCCATGGCCATGGAGCACCCGTCACCACTCCCCAACTCACACTACTTCCATCTGCCAGAGTATGCTTGGTGTTCACCTCGTGGAGGGCTTCGGAATCAGAGCTCACAAGTGATGGACACCCCTGCAGCCGGACCTGGGAAGCCAGAGTCCACAAAAAGTGACTGAGAAAGTCCCCAGTGAGACCAGACTGTCACTTGATGCCACCTTCGTCTTGCAGAGCCGGTTGACCTCCGATAGAGTAGGGGCCTTGAGCTCCGTGCAGCCTGAGCCTCAGCTGGAATTGTTTACAGACTTGGGAAGCTCCACCCACAGAGATCTGTTTGGGTCACTGCTTTCGAAGTGAGATTTGGAAGAACTCCCTCTGGTCTCCCAAGTGGAGAGAAGAGACCTCACTGGCTTGGACCTTTAATCCTCTGTGACACCCCCAGGGAAGTCGGTCTCAAGAGTGGGGTACAGTCAAGACCCCAGTCTTTCAAACTTTCCCTAAGTGCTTCTGGCCCTCGAAATGCCACTTCCAAGTTCATGTGTGTGTTTCAGTTTTGCTTCAAGTTCTGTAGCAGGATGTTGCCCTGTACCCACTCCTTCCCTCTGTGAGGAGCTGCAGGAAGAGCTGGTTTGCCTCCAGGAGCAGAAGAGAATAACAGGATGTTCTGAAGTCAAGCCCGCTCCACCTCTGCCCGCAGTCACCTCTGCCAGTGCCACCCGCAGCCTGGGATGACGGCCACCCAGACACATCTGCCAAGGCGCCAGCCGAGAGTTAGCCTGGCCCTGGAGCTTAGCCATTGACCTCATAGCTGAAGCTGCTATGTCTGGGGGCCCAGACTGGGATGTCTGTTCCTAGGCAGCTGTTTGCAGATGTTGTTGAACATAAATACAAGTTGAAGTTAAAAAAAAAAAAAGAACAGACTGGGGAGCTCTGGTGGCCTAGTGGCAAGAAGGTGCATTGCAATCCCAGAGGTGGTGGTTGTTGTTATGTGCCGTCGAGTCGCCTGCGACTCATAGCGACCCTATGTACAACAGCCCTAAACTCCGCTCTGTCCTGTGCCAATCGCACTGTCTCTGACACTCCCATCCCAATTATCCCAGTTACTGAATCAATCCACCTCATAGAGGGCCTTCCTCTCCTGCTCCCTCCCCAAGCATAATGTCCCTCTCTAAGGACCGGTCTCTCCTCACAACATGTCCAAAGTAAGTTAGACGGAACTTCAGAATCCTTGCCTCCAAGGAGCCACCCGGTTTAACCCTTTCCAGGACAAATCTGTTTGTTTTCCTAGCAGTCCATGGTATTCTCAATACTCTTCTCCAGCACCACAGCTCAAAGGCATCAATTCTCCTTCTATCCTCCTTGGTCATTGTCCAATTCTCTGATGCATAACAAGTGATTGCGAAGACCATGGCCTGTATCAGACGCACCTTAGTCTCCAAAGAGATACCATTGCTCTTCAGCACTTTGGAGAGGTCCCTAACAGCAGACTTTCCCATAGCAATGCGCCTTTTAATTTCCTGGCTGCTGGTGCCAAGACTGTTGACTATGGAGCCAAGCAAACTAAAGCTGTGTACAATCTCAATCTCTTCACCATCCATCCTGATGCTGCCAATTGGTCCAGTGGTGAGAATCTTTGTCTTCTTGACATTGAGCCTCAATACAGTTCAAATCCACCAGATGCTCTGCTGGAAAAGGAGAGGCAATCTCCTCCTGTACCAGTCAGATCTGATTTGACGATACACACACACAAAATAATAAAATTTTTAAAAAATTTTAACAAAGAACAGATATGAGGCATTGGACACTAATGGTCAAAGACCAGATGAGCTGCAGAATGATGTCAAGTGCATCATCCATAAAGTAAGCAAAAGGTATGACAAACACAGGGAAGAAAGAAAAGTCCAAAATGGATGTTAGAAGAGACTCTGAAAATTGCACTTGGACACAAAGAGACCAAAACAAAGGAAGAAACACTTAAAGACATAAACAGATGATTTCAAAAGGCAACACAAGAAAATAAAGTATTATAATGAAATATGCAAATAGTCAAAGTTGGAAAATAAAAAAGGAAGCACACACTTGTTGTCGACCAAGACGAAGGAACAAGACGGGGTCACCAAAAAATGAGGAGGAGAAAAGAGAGCGTAAAGGCAAGGGACAGGTAATGCCAGATGGATCTTGACTGAAAGCAGAGATTACCAGAAGGATGTTTATCTGTGTTTTGTTGACTATGCAAGACATTTGACTCATTTAATTGTGCTCATGTGAAACCTATATTTAGATCAGCAGGTGGTTGTGGGAATAGAGTACGTGATTACTACCTGGTTTATAATCAGGAAAGGCATGCATCAGGGCTCTATCCTTTTTCCATACTTGTTCAGTTTATATGCTGAGCAAATCATTTAAGAACCTAGACTTTATGAAGAGGAATGTAGCATCAGGATCACCAGAATACTCATCAACAACCTGTGTTAAGCAGATGACACATTTTGCTTGTTATAAGTGAAGATGATTTAAAACACTTGCTGCAAAAGATCAAAGACTGCAGCCTTCAACATCAAGAAAAAAAAAATCACCACTGGGCCAATAGGCAGCATCCTAGATGGAGAAAAATTGAAGGTATCAACTATTTCATCTTGCTTAGATTCACAATCAACACCTTTGGTACAAGCAGTCAATACACCAAAACACACGTTGCATTGGAAAATCTGCCATCAAAGACCTTTTCAAAGCTCTATGGAGCAATGATGTTAAAGACCAATGTTCACCTGTTTCAAGTCATGGTCTTTCCAATTACTGGTTATGCAGCTAAGAGTTGGAGGAGAGAAGAATCAATGTCTTTGAGTGGTGGTGTTGGAGAAAAGTAAACAAGCGTATTTTGGAGAAGGTACAACTAGGGTGCTCCTTGAAAGTGAGGCTGGCAAAGCTCTTTCTTACATACTTTGGAAATGTTGTGCGTAGGGGCCTGTATTTGGAAAAGCACCTTATGCATGAAAATGTGGAGGATGAGAGGAAGACACTAAACAAGATGAGTTAATAGAGTGACTATGAAAATGGGCTTGAGCCTAAGAGATCTGATGTTAGTGCTAGGTTCACATCTGTTGTTCGTGTAGTGACTATGAGTCTTAAGTGACTGGATAGTGCCTAACATGAGGCTAAATGAGTTCTGAGCCAGAATGGACTTCTGGGCACACAAATAACTTTAGCTGAGAAACATGGCATATAATGGATAATAGCCAGAAATCTGGAATCATTCTGCCTGAGCTCAGATCATAATCACATTCAGTTGTCCCTGGGAAAGGTAACAAACGTATTCTTTATCTATCAAACGTTAACAAGGCCAACTACACAAGGTTCTGTGGGATGAATTGACACAGTGACTACGGCAAATGGGGTCAGGCTGGCTTCAGCTAGGGCAAGGTTTAGTTAGAACTGTGGTTAGAAGGGCCGCTATGAGTTGTGATCGACCAGAAGGCACATAATCACATACAAGGTTCGGAGGTAAGCACGTTAACAGCCTCAACACCATCGTAGCTGACCGTCCAGTGGGTTTCCTGAGGCTATAAATCGTACTGGAGGAGATTGTCCGTCTGTCTCCCGCGGAGTTGGTGGTGGATTCGAACCTCTGCGCCACTCCCTAAGAACTAAGCCACCAGAACTCCCTAAACTAAAAGAATGTATTCAAAACAATGTCTGCCACATTGCATGACTTATAAATGCTGTGAAGAATGTCACGTAGTGTAACAAGTGTGTCCTTACACAAACACACACGTCAACTTGAATGTGTCCTTGAAAAGTTTTCACATGCACACACACACGTACGTCACACGCACGTCCTGGAGAAGTTGTCACATACACACGTCAACTTGAAATCTACGGCATTGCAGATGAGATAAAGATTGGTAGAATCATTCCTACAACTGACTCAGGTTCCAAGATTTCCTTTGCCTCCACGATCTACGCAGACTGCCGTGGGAGAAGGTTAGTCCCAGAAGTTCCTTTCCGTCTTCTCCAGCGCAGGACATCACCACGTGGTTTCCGCATTCCACGCTTTCCCCGCCCCTTTCCTACTCGGCGCCTGCGGATGACGTTAAAGGGCGCCGCCGGGTCGCCGGGTCGCGCCTGCGCTCTGGCGAGGCGGAAGCCCCGCGTGCCCTCGGCTTGCCAGGCCCCTTCTCTGAACGCTCGGCGCTGCGGTGACAGGGTCTCTCGGGTGCAGCGTGCCAGAGGTGATCACCATGAACCGCAGCCGCCAGGTGACATGCGTGTCCTGGGTCCGCTGCGGCGTGGCCAAAGAGACTCCAGACAAGGTGAGGCCTTGAAGCTTGGGGCATCTTCGAGCAGCTGGGCGCGGAGAACCGGACGCACGCGCGGGCTGTGGGCGGGTTGGCCGGGGTGAGGTGGATTTGGGGTCGAATCGTCGGGACAGTGGCTCCTTACAGCTCCGAGGGTGTGGATCGCTTTGCGCCTGCTCACCGCCCTCCAGCCCCACCTCCAGATTCACACGCACGTGGGCCTCGGGAACTGGGGTGCTGCGTGGTGTGGGACATCCCCCCAAAACCTTATTCACAACACCACAGCTTCTACCCTCCACCCCTAGTGCATTGAGACCCAAAGGGACGAAGCAGCACGTAAATGAATACTCATTTTCTACTTGGCGTGGACAGGATGAAAGCTGTAGTGGTGGCTACGGTTGTCCTGAGGCTAGAAGGTGAATTAGGAGTTGCTTTCGGTAATTCAAGTAAGACATTGATGGTGGGAGTGGAGATGGGAACAAAATGTGGCACAGGAAAGAAACATCTACAGGAGGTGGTGAGTCGCAAAGGTTACCATGATTTAAGTTCATTTAGTAGACATTGAAGTGCTTTTTACAGGCCAGGGTTGTTGAGGAGTCAGGATGCAAGAAGGACAGTAGACAGGTCCCTGGCTTCGTGTACATTTTTGTGTCAGAGGTATTCCATGTATTGCCAGGAGAAACAAGGTACTACCAGAGTGCTCCTTGAAAGTGAGGCTGGCAAAGCTCTGTCTCACATACTTTGGCAATGTTGTGCGTAGGCCCTGTATTTGGAAAAGCACCTTAATGCATGAAAATGTGGAGAATGAGAGGAAGACACCAAACAAGATGAGTTAATAGAGTGACTGTGAAACATGGACTCGAGCCAATGAGATCTGATGTTAACTTAATGTAGTCACTATGAGTCATAAGTGACTCAATAGTTCATTCTATGGTAGATAGACGTGGAGGTCCAGGGTTGAAGGTAGTTGACTAGGCCAATGATAACAAAGACGTGGTAGTGATTGTTATGTGCCATTGAGTTAAGTAAAACTCATAGTGACCCTGTGAACAGCAGATCTGAACCCTGGCCTCTCTTGTACCATCCTCATCATCTCTGACATCCTCCAGCCCATTGCTGCAGTCAGTGTGTCAGTCCATCTCACTGCCGGTCTTCCCTTCCTTGACTGACCACCCCACCCCCCAGCTTTCCAAGCAGTAGCTTCTGCTGGCAACATGCCCTAAGTATGTGAGACGAAGCTTCGCCATCCTTGCCTCCATGGAGCATTCTGGCTGCACTTTTTCAGTCTGTCATTCCTGTCAACTTGTGTCCAAGTGAATCACATTGCTATCACCTACCCTAGCTTATCCATTTTTCCCCCTTAAAAAAGATCATTTAAGTGATAAGAATCTGACTAACTTGGACATAGGCTCACAGGAATGAGAGAGAGTGGCACCAATAAGTGTAAATTCCACAAGGATGCAGTCTTATTAACCACTCTTTATCTGCTGTTTGATTCACAGTAGGCATTCAGTGCAGAGCTGTAGAATGTTGCTTTGTGCCTTCACGTCAGGACCAAATCAAAGGCTGTAAATTGCAGAGTTGTTGCAGACCAAGGGTAAAGTGCTTTTATAATTATTAATAATGAGACATACAGCCAAGAATGAGATAGAGCAGAGAGCATAACACAGGAGGCCAGCAGTTCTCGGCTGAAGACCCCAAGCCAAGCTTCTCTGTGTATTTATTGATAATCAGGGGAAACAAATCATAAACGGAATTCCTTGTAAATTAAGCCAAGCTCTTTCTATTGAAAACCTTCCCTTTGACTCAGGAGGGAGGGATTCACAAATGCAAGAATTTGGTATACCCTTAAGGATTGCCTTGATGCCTCAGGTGAACGCTAGCTCAGGATGTAACACTCCCTCTGTAGGGGGCCCCTAGCTGTCTCCTGTCTGCAGGGAACAACGAACAAACAAACAGCTCATTTTCTGTGATCTGCCACCCATACATAGGAGCGGAGGATACTGCCCATGGCGGGCTGGTAGGTTGGACAGTGTGCCTGTATGTATGTTGGGAACACAACTCCTTACTGCTAGGCCACCAGAGCTCCCATTTGTGGATAAGGCACAGAAAATTACTTCAGTGAAGATTGTTAAAGGAGGTAACAGTTAGGGACATACAGTCTTTCAACTACTTAAATAGTCATTTCCAAATGGATTTCTCTGTTGGAACCACTTGGGAATGTCACAGCATTCCAATGCCTGCATCCTATCCCAATATTGTGATCTAATTGATCCGAGGCATGGCCTCACATTTCTTAGAAGTCCAGTACACCATCTCTTGCACCACAGAGCCAAACTCAATTTCTTTCTTTTTTTCTTTTTTTTTTTTAACTAAAGATCCCTGGGTAATTATAATTCTTAGGCAAATTTGAGAACCACTTGAAGAACTTGAAACACTTTGGACTTACTCTGTGTTCTCAGAGAAGAAAACGGCTAATAACAGGAAAGGAATTAAGTGCTTTTTAAGTAAGCTGAGGAAATAGCCGTTTGTTTCTGGATCTGTCCAACAATGGACTGACTGTTCTCCCTCTGAAGGATCTGTGAGGATTTGCACTGCTAGCCCGGAGGTGGTGTCTGTCTGTCTGTCTGTCTGTCTGTCTGTCTGTCTGTCTGTCTGAATCCACTAGCTGCTCTGCGGGAGAAAGGTGGGGGCATTCTCCTCCCATGCGATTAACAGCTTCAGAAAACCCACTGGAAGATCAGGTGTGTGAGTTGGTTTCAACTTCACGGCAATGACATTTTTGAGAAATATCACACAGTTAAGTATTTCGCTGCTAGCTGAAAGGTTGGCAGTATGAACCCATCCCAAGGTGCCTCAGGAGACAGGCCTGCAGTCTGCTTCGGGGCGATCACAGCCTTGGAGACCCCATGTAGCAGCACTTAGTTCTGCTCTGCACTCAGGGTGTCACCGTGAATCAGAATTGACTCCTCAGTCACTAATAATGAGCGACCAAACAACAGAGACATTTTGTGTAAACCAGGAAATTTGTTTATTATTATAGTTGTTGTTAGGTGCTGTCTAGTCACTTGTGACTCATAGCAATCCTGTGTACAACAGCACTGAACCCTGCTTTATCCTGACGCAGCCTTATCGTCTCCGACACACCTACCCCCATTACCCCAGTCACTGAATCAGTCCATCTCTTAGAGGGTCCTCTCTGGCACTGTCCGTCCACCCTCCCAAGCATGATGTCCTTCTCCAAGGATTGGTCCCTCCTTGCAACATGTCCAAAGTATGTCAGACGACGCTTCACAATCCTTGCCTCCAAGGAGCAGCCTTGTTTCACACTCTCCAGGACAAACCTGTTTGTTGCCTAGCAGTCCATGGTATATACAATACTCTTCAATACCACAGCTCAAAGGCATCAATCTCCTTCTGTCATCCTTAGTCATTGTCCAGCTCTCTGATGCATAGTACGTAATTGCAGTGACTGTGGCCTGGATCAGGCACCTTGGTCTTCAGACTTACTTCGTTGTTCTTCAGTACTCTGGAGAGGTCCCTGACAGCAGACTTAACGTCAGTCATTACGTTTCTATGTAATTATTATGTTTCATTACATAATTAACCATTTCCTTTCTTTTGAATGAACCTGAGACACTGAACTTCATGCATAGGTATACAATGACATGTAGATTTCTATCTTCCAGAAACGTACAGGTTAGTAATAATTGGGTATTTTATTAAAGGGACTAGAATACTGACTAGGTGAGGGTTGTAAAGAATGTGATTTCATTTTTGAACTTGTTAGTGAAATGCTAACAGCAACTCCCAGGGAAGTCTTAATGGGCAATTGGGGAAAAAAACCCGTGGAATGTTGCACTGGAGGGAAAAATGTAATGAGTCCAGAGATGGTAAGTTTAATCTGAAAAGTGACAGCCCTTGCATGGGAGTGAATGCCTGATGAGTGAGCACTTGGCATTGAAGACAGGGAAAGAGCGAGGACGGATGCAGCGGTGGTTTGCTTGGGCACGCCCGCAGGGAGGATGGCGGGAAGTGGCCCCCGAGGAGTAGGAGGCTTGGAAAGAAGCCCAGCTAGCTTTCTGAGAAGACAGAACAGAAACACAGAGCCCTGGTGGCTCCCAGTTTAAAGTGTTTGGATGTGAACTGAATGGTGAGCAGTTCTACCCACCAGCTGAAGCCAGTTGCTTCTGTAAAGATTTGGAGCTTTGAAAATCCTGTGGGCAGTTCTTCTCTGTCCTGTATGAATCAGTCAGGATGATAGCCGTGGGCTTGATCTGTTTGGGTTTTTGTTTTTGTTTTCATTTTGAGAGAGGTAGAATAGAATGAGTATGTGGGAGGATGCTGATCTTTTAACAACTTTGGGTAAGAAGGGATTTTAACTGGAAAATTTAAACTCAGTGGCATTGAGTCGGTTGTGACTTGTAGCAACCCTCAGAAATCCTCCTTTGGAGCTGCTGGTGGATTCGAACTGCCATAGACTCTTACCTTTGGGTGAGCGCATGATTCTCTATGGACTAGAGCTCTCACTTAATTGGAAAGACCGGTGGAAGCTCCCTTTACCTTAAAATGAAGAGCTCTCGATATTTTCATTTTGTGCGCTAATGCTGTATTTGAAATTGTTTGCACACTTCTTTTTAATTCAAAGGTTTCTAATGCTTCCCCCCATAATTGTGCATGTTAATTAGTCATAATTTCACCCACAAAGGCAAAACCAGAGATGATCAACCCAGCTTTTCCTTTAGCAGGATAATGTCAGTACTCCTGCAGACCGAAGCACTGTAAATTGCAACCTGCTTTTCTGATGATTTTCTCAAATGCATTGAAGCCCATGAGAGGCAACACCCATCAGGACTGCCTTGTATATCCAGATCTCAGGGGGTTCTTGCTTTGACAGGGTATAGCCTACCACTTTTCTATCAGTTGCAGGGGAAAGTAATTTGAGTTTTCCTTTCAAGAAGACAAATATTCTCACCGCTGGACCAATTGGCAGCATCAGGATGGATGGTGAAGAGACTGAGATAGTTTACAGCTTTAGTTTGCTTGGCTCCACAGTCAACACTCTTGGCACCAGTAGCCAGGAACTTAAAAGACGTATTGCGATGGGAAAGTCTGCTATTAGGGACCTCTCCAAAGTACTGAAGAGCAATGGTGTCTCTCTGGAGACTAAGGTGTGTCTGATACAGGCCATGGTCTTCACAGTCACGTGTTCTGCATCAGAGAATTGGACAGTGACTAGGGAGGATAGACGGAGAATTAATGCCTTCGAGCTGTGGTGCTGGAGAAGAGTATTGAGGGTACTAAGAAGACAAACAGGTTCATCCTGATAGAGGGTTAAACTGGGCTGCTCCTTGGTGGCAAGGATTCTGAGGCTCCGTCTAACATACTTTGGACATGTTGTAAGGAGGGACAGGTCCTTGGAGAGGGACATCATGCTTGGGAGGGTGGAGGGACAGCGCAGGAGGGGAAGACCCTCTATGAGGTGGATTGATTCAGTGACTTGGGTAATCGGGATGGGTGTGTCAGAGGCAGTGTGATTGGCACAGGACAGAGCAGGGTTTAGGGCTGTTGTACATAGGGTCGCTATGAGTCGCAAGCGACTCGACGGCACATAACAACAACAACAGGTTTCTGCCTTGCTTTGTTTCTTCCAGCTTTGGAGGTTTTATCGTATGTTGCCATCTCAGTAAGTGTTTGATCTCTTATAGGTAGAGCTAAGCAAAGAAGAAGTGAAGCGGCTCATTGCTGAAGCAAAGGAGAAATTACTGTAAGTTTGAACATCCTGATGTCTTATATCCAGAATGCTGCATGTCTCTGGTGGTTCAGAGCCACCAGTGGCTTCTTGGGAATAGGACTAGTCTCCTCCATGGAGATTTAGAGCCTGCAGAACCTAAGGGAGGGTCACTGTGAATCACAGTTGGCCTGATTGCAGTGAGTGAGAGTGAATATAATTCCAGATCAAATGTGTATCTTAATAACACAGGGCTGTTGTTAGTGAGCCATGCCTTTGGATGATGCCCCCCCTTTTTAATTCCCACAGAGAAGAAGGCGGCAGTGATGAAGAGGAGAGGGGCGAGCCTTCAGAAGAGGGCATGCAGAGTGCACGCACCCAGGCCCGAGCCAGCGAGGCCCTGGAGGATGGCAACCCCGAGGACGACAGGACCCTGGATGACGATGAGCTGGCCGAGTATGACCTGGACAGATACGACGAAGACGGCGACCCGGGTCAGAATCCCTTTGTCTCTACTGGTTTTTCATCACGTGCACAGTGCATTACAGTCATGCTGTTTGTGGTCCACAGTTTTGCCCTGAGCCTCTGTTGTCACTTTAGACAAAAGGGAACTAGAAAAGAAAGCGGGGTGGGGGGGTGTAAAGAGAGCTGAGAAGATAATAAGCAGGACTCCCTTGTGTTTTGGGGGCAAGAAGTGAGTGTGTAAGAGGGGCTAACATGAAAACAAGCTCACCTTATTGTCAGGTGTGATGTTCACCCTAAATGTTGCAGTTTAAGAATTAGACAAAGTAGTGTTGAGCTTGACCTGATGTGTATGATGGGAACAGGAAGGAGCCTGAATGAAGACCTAAAATAGTAGAATTGTGGTTGGTTGGTTGGTTGGTCGGTTGGTCGGTCGGTCGGTCACTCGGTCTAAAGAGTAAGAGCTTCCAAGGGAGCTCTGGTGGCCTAGTGGCAGGAAGCTGCAGTGCAATCCCAGAGGTGTGCAGTTCAAATCCACCAGCTGCTCTGCTGGAGAAGGAGGGACAATCTCCTCCTGTACCAGTCAGATCCAATTTGACGGTACATGCACAAAAAATTTAAAGAAAAAAAAAAAAAAGAGGAAGAGCTTCCTTGATGCTCTTGTTCACCGTTAAGTCAGAACCAACCAACAGCTGGTCCTCCAGTGGGTTTTCAGAGGCAGTAAATCATGGGACAAGATTGCCTATCTTTCTCTCAGAGAGCACATCGTGGATTCAAACCATGGGCTTTCATGTTGGCAGCACAGCTCCTTGCCACTGGGCCACCAGAGCTCCCTGTCTATGTTTGGCTGAAGGTTGAGCCACAGGAATAAGTTTTGTACCAGGTTCTTAGGATCCCTAAGAGCTGTCAGTCTCTCAGATGAGTTATCCTGGCCGTTTTCAGTTTTTAGTTTTGTTCTACATTCCCCCCACCCCTCCCCACCAGGATCATGAAGTGGTTCTGTGGCTCAGGGGCAGAGATGTTGAGATTGACGTGGCCCATTAGTCTTTCGGACTTATTCTTTCTGTGTATCTTTGTTTTTCTTCCCTGCCTTTTGTCCCAGGTGGGGAGAGAGCAGTGGTTGCACCTCTGTAGCATTTTTTAATAGTAATTTGAAAGAACAAGCTAGGAAATCAGGAGTTCTAGTGTTTTCTGGCAGGGAATTTTGCAGTTTGATTTCATTCTTTTATTGTTGTTGTTGTTGTTAATGTGCCACTGAGTCACTTACAACTCATAGCGACCCTTTGTATAAGACCTCTAAACACCATTCTATCCTGTGCCAACTGAGCCATCTCAAACGCATTAATTCCTACCACTCCACTCACAGAATCTGCCAACATGATGTCCCTCTCCAAGGACCACTCCCTCCTTGCAACATGCCCAAAGTATGTCAGATGAAGCTTCAGAATCCTTGACTTCAAGGAGCATTCTGGCTTCACCATCTCCAGGACAAACCTGTTTGTTCTCCTAGCAGTCCATGGTATATTCAACACTCTTCTCCAGCACCACAGCTCAAAGGCATCAATTCTTTTTCTATCATCCCTATTCACTGTCCAACTCTCTGATGCATAGCATGTAATTGCGAAGACTAGAGCCCAGATCAGGCGCACCTTAGTCTCCAGTCTGACGTCCTTGCTCTTCAGTACTCTTGAAAGGTCCCTCACAGCTGCCTTTCCCAGTGCAATTCGTCTCTTGATTTCCTGGCTGTTGTTACCAAGAGTGTTGACTGTAAAGCCAAGCAAACTAAAACTGTTAACTCCCTCAATCTCTTTTATTTAGAGTAGTTGTGAATTCCAAGAATATCAGCTTGTACAAGCCTGTTTTTTTTTGTTGTTGTTGTTGTTGTTGTTTTCCAATTTCCTTTTCCACCCTTGAGTGATCTCAGCATAGCTTTAAAGGAGACAGATCTAAATATGTTGTTGTTATATGCCATCACATCACTTGGGACTTACAGCAATCCCTGAAACCTGCTCTATCCTGTGCCAGTCTTACTGTCTCGGACACACCTACCCCCATACCGCAGTCACTGAATCAATCCATCTCATCGAGGGTCTTCCTCTCCTCTGCTGTCCCTCCACCCTTCCAAGCGTGACGTTCCTCTCCAATGACTGGTCATTCCTTGCTACGTGCCCAAAGTATGTCACACGGAGCCTCCAAGGAGCAGCCTGCTTTCACCCTCTCCAGAACCTGTTCTCTTAGCAATCCATGGTATATTCAATACTCTTCTCCAGCACTACAGCTCAAAGGCATCAATTCTCTTTCTATCATCCCTAGTCATTGTCTAGCTTTCTAACGCATAGCAAGTAATTGCGAAGACTGCAGCCTGGCAATCTAAATATAAATATTATATTGTATTGGAAATAACGTTTTTGTCCAAATGACTGTTGTATTCACGTTCGTTTATGAATTCTTCCTGTAGATGCTGAGACCCTCGGTGAATCTCTCTTGGGTCTGACAGTCTATGGAAGTAACGATCAGGATCCGTATGTGACTCTGAAAGACACGGTAACTATTTACATGGCTTTTCTGATTGTGCTCTTAAATGCTTGATAAGTATTTAAACACAGAGATCTTTCTCCACCTCTTTACTGGTGGTGAAATGACCGATCTCACTCTGTGGAATCTTTTTTAGTAAAACTATCTTTGCTTTCCCCTCAGGAAAAAAAAGTTGACGATACAACTGTCATATCATCCAGGTCTTTTTGTAGCACACACCCAAAAGACTTGAAAGCAAGGACTGAATCAGAAACCTGCATAGCCATGTTGATTACATCACTATTCATAATAACCAGAACATAGAAACAACCCCTTGTTGTTTAACCATCGACATGGCTATGCAAAGTGTAGTATCTATGTAACAATGGAACATAATTCAAACATAAATCAAATTTAGGTGTATGATAATCATGGGTGAACTTTCAAAACTTTATACTGCATGAAATAAATTATACACAAAAGGACAAATATTAGAGGAGCTCACATATGTGGTGTATCTAGGATAGCCAAATGCAGAGAGACAAAGGCCACATTACAGGATCTGTGCCTCACCAGTGACTTCTTTCCTCTGTAATCAGGAGCAATATGAACGCGACGATTTTTTGATTAAACCCAGCGATAATCTCATAGTTTGTGGTCGAGCTGAACAGGACCAGTGCAATTTAGAAGTGCATGGTAAGCCACATATGTTGCCTCCCACAGGGTTCTCTCTCCAAGTAATATTAAAATAATGACCATAATAGTTACTGTTATGAGATTACATCCTTTTGAATAAGTGTCAAGCCCCGTAGAATCGCATTTAAGTTGGTAAATAACGTCGTTAAATCCTACCTAGCCTACAGGTTCCCTGGTTAGTGTGACTGGTTGTGGAATCTACTGTGTTATGAGATGCCTGACTTTGTTACTGGAAATAGGGAGCTCAGGGTGACCCTTTACAACAGACTAGAACTGCCCCGTAGTGTCTTCCATGTGGTAAGACGCTGCACTGCGATCCTGAAGGCACACAGAATCTACCAGCTGCTTCATGGAAGAAGGATGCGCAGTCTTCTCCCATGCGATGAACTGCCTCTGAAAACCCGCTGGCAGGTCGGTTCCGACTTCGGTACGCAACAACTGTCAGTGCAGAAGCGGGTCACCAGGGTTTGTTTCTTACACAGCTGCTGGGAGGTTTGAATCACCACCCTTTAGATTAACAGCTGTTCCCTTAACCATTGTAACCTCCAGGGCTCCTCTGGAGGCCTAATAGAAGGTTTGAGTTTTTTTATTTAAACATTTCTGACAGTTTTTTAGTTGTTTCCTTACTATAAAACTTGGTATTAAGATTATATATAAAAATGCAAAAAAAGTTAGAGTCCCACAACTGACAGTAATGATCGCCACCCTGACTTTTTACTCCCAGTCGTTTTTTCATGGTTAAGATTACACAGAGCAGACAGATTTTCATGGTGTTTTTTTCACAGAGTTGTTTCAGGTATTTCCCCCTTTTAGGACATATTTGTGTTCTCAGTTATTCAATGTGGTGGTGGTTGTGTGCCATCAAGTCGGAACCGACTCATAGCTGACCCTCCAGGAGGTTTTCAGAGGCTCTCCCTCTCACGGGAGAAGATTGCCCGTCCTACTATAAAGTAGCTGGTGGATTTGAACCTTTGCAGGCCTTTGGGATTGCAGTGCAGCTTCTTACAACTAGGCTATCAGAGTTCGCTACCCAGCATAGAGGCTCCCCTTCTCCCCCCAGACCAGCACCTCTTTCCTGCTCTGCCAGGTGGCAGCCCAAGGGCCAGGTGTGTGTTTACCAGTAATCTGAAGTCAACACTGATCTTTGTTTTTAAACCAGCTTTTTCATCCTTCACTAATTTAGCAAATACGAATTGAATGCCTTGCTTCATTTTGTTATTATAGAAAATCTGTTCTTTTTTCATATAGTGATAGTAGCCTTCAGGTTATATGGAAAACTCTGCCTCTGGCTTCTTCCCTTTGCCTTTTCCTCTGTGCATTTATCCTCTTAGGGGTCCACCAGGCAGGCCCCCCACAACCTCTAGTTCCCAGCAGTCTTCTGATCATCTGACTTGCAGGGCTGACAAATGAAGACATTACCAGGCTGAAAAGACCCTGTGTCATGGGAAACCCAGTTGCCTAGTGTGGATGTTAAAATCTTTTGGTCAGTGGTGGTTGACATCCTCTCAATGACTTTATTGCTGGTTCTGTTTAGTAGTTTAGATTTCTAGAACTTCAGAATCCTTATGGCTTACCTGTAAGAAACCTATGCTTTAGGCCATTTTTATCCCAAGAGCCATTGTGACCTAGTTATAAAATCTTAGAAAGGCTTTAAATAGTAATTAATTCATTGTGGGGCTTTTATGTCTTGTTACCATGTTGGTGACCTTTTTTCCCAAAGACACATTCTAACTTCAAAAGCTAAAACCCCATTGGTGTACATTTTTCTTACATTCTCATCTAAGAACGTATTATGTTCATTCCTTAAAATTCACTGAGGATTAAAAAGGAGTTTAGAAAGAAATGAAAGATTGTATTTTTACTTCCTTCTGAGCTGGGCTATCATAGCTATACTTTATTACTTAAATTGGAGAGGATCTATAAATTATCCCGCATATCTGTGTTCAAGAAGAATTTCAAAATGACCTGCCAAAGCTCATCTAATGGGTAAAGGAGATTAAGTTTAGAAACATCATCCCGTTATTCTGTAACATGTAAGCTGAGTACGTTGAACCTGGTGGGTATTTTCCAGGACAGCACGCGAATAATCATTCTGAACATGCTTTCCTGCTGGACGGTGACGGGGAGAATGTTCCAGAGAGCTCTTTACCTCGGGATCTGTCCCTGAAGCAGAGACCTGAGCATTTCAAACAAAAATGCTTACTATCCGCTTCTTTCTTAACGAAAATCACACAGAAAGGAGAATCTCAATTATTGGAGCACTGCCACTTTCAAAGGCTATTTTTTAAGCCATGGACTTGAAACATTTTTGTTCCTTAAAGTTATGGTAAAAAGCTAATTCTGTTAGTTGCCACAGCCCAAAAGGATGTCTAAATAGCAAAGGAAAGTAGATTTTGACCAGCGTTTGGATTTCTGCGTAGGAATTACTTTTATCTGGGACTGATTTTGTTGTTACTGTTGTTGACTTAAAATCAGCTAGATCTTTAGCAGATAAAATAATACTGAATCGCTCCTTTTGAGAGTTTGGTTTTTCCTGTTGGGTGAACTAGCGAGCAGGACTGTTAACTGGGGGACATGTGGGTGGAGTATCAGGCAGACACTGCTTGGTTGTTAGTGTTCACAGTCCCCTTAAGGTGCACCAGGTGATGTTCACATGCAGAGAGCTCGCAGTAAAAAAAGTCTGACCCCTCTTTTTAATGTCATCAGATAGGTCTCAGTGTGCACATTTTGGTCCTTCAGTTTAATAGGGTAAGTCTGTTCTTTTGAGTGAGATGTGATTTCTCACTTTTCTTACTCTGCTACAATAAAGTCTTTTTCTCCTCTTTTCAGTTTACAATCAGGAAGAAGACTCCTTTTATGTGCACCATGATATACTCCTGTCTGCATATCCCCTGAGTGTGGAGTGGCTCAACTTTGATCCTAGCCCAGATGATTCCACTGGTAACTGGAGAATTTAAGATTGTATCTTTCCACATCCCATGAGTTACATGATATGAATGAATGAATGTTTTCAGAATTGTTCGTGATATCTTATGAGATTAAGGTTAGATTGATCTTAAAACCCAGTCACTGAACTGCTTTGGGCGTGTGTATCTTCAGTCTTTGGACTGGGCAGGGGGTCGCTGCTCCGCTGTGAGCTGGAGGAGAGGGCCTGAAAGCCTGGTGGCTGCAGAGCTGAGTGAGAGTCCCATGATAACCCAGGACAGAATGGCACGACTAACTGGAGTGGCTTAGCCCTTCTGGAAACTTCAGAAAGCAAGCATGAAGACACTTACCATGTAACAGGAATAAGGCAAATTAGAGAATGATATTCCTGTGTCTTAGTTAATTGCCCTGTCAGGACTTCTTCCTGATTAAAGCAAACACTGGTGATACTAACATTTACTTCTTGTTTGCAAAGCATATTTGCATTTATTTACTGTTTGGTCACAACAACGGGCCCATGAAGGCAGGAAGATGAGATTTATTCTCTGACGGAACTGAAGACACTGGAGCCAAGAGACTGAGCATTCGGCTTGTGGTCCAAGGACCAGCAGGGTAGCACTGACATCACATCTGAGCACTGATTATTACTGGGTGCTGGCAAGTAGCAACCCAGGGTGACAGGAGAGGTGTCTGTGATCTAAAGAGCAATTGCCAGGTGTTTTCTCCCACAGGCCACTGATGGGTTTAAGCTGCTGACCTTTTGCTTGGCAGCCAGTGCTTAATTGTTGGATTTCGGGACCGACTAGTGCCTGACCATCCAGCGGGTTTTCAGAGGCAATAAATCGAATGGGAAGAGATTACCCATCTTCCTCCCACAGAGCAGCTGGCAGATTCCAAATACATGCCTTTGGGATTGTTGGTTTTTGGAATTGTTTGAGTAGTATCTGAAATTTAACAGTGTTCAGGGTGATTCATATGCATATGAACATTCGAGAAGCTCTCCTCTATGCTAACAAAATATGTAGACATCTAGGGTCAGAGAACAAGAAGAGAAGAATTCGCTTGGCTTTTCTCAGGCTAAAAGCCTCAAGTTGGCAATACTGAGAGATGCTATGGGCACAATCTTGAATGACCCAAGAAGCCTCAAAAGAAGATGGACGGAGTACACAGAATCGATGTACCAAGAAGAATTGGTCGGCCCTGAAAGATTTCCGGAAGTACCATATGAACAAGAGCCAGTAATAATGAAGGATGAAGTTCAAGCTGCACTGAAAGGCATTACCAAAAATAAGGCTTCAGTAATTGATGGGAAATTACTTGACGTGTTTCAGCTAACAGATGCAGCCCTGGATGTGTTCACCAGTTTATGCCAGGAAATTGGGAGGACAGCTGCCTGGCCAGCTGACTGGAAGAGATCCATATTTGTCCTAATTCCCGAGAAAGATGACCCAACAGAATATGGAAATTTTCTAACTATGTCATTAATATCTCACGCAAGCAAAATATTGTTGAAGAGCATTCAGAAATGGCTAGAACGGTACATTGACAGGGAACTACGAGAAGTTCAGGCTGGTTTTAGAAGAGGTCGCAGCACCAGGGATATCTTTGCTGATTTCTATAGATGCTGGCTGAAAGCAAAGACTACCAGAAGAATATCTGTGTTTTATTGACTATGCAAAGGCATTGGACTGTGTAGAGCATAACAAATTATGGCTCACATTGAGAAGAATGGGAATCCCAGAGCACTTAATTATGCTCATATGGAATACCTAGACCAAGCAGCTGTTGTCTGAACAGAGCAGGGGAACACTGCATGGTTTAAAATCAGGGGAGGGAGCAGGACCTCCATGGGCTCATCAGTGCAGCTGCCTTCTTTATCTCCTCGCCAGTGTGAAACCCAGGACTGGACCAAGCAGAATTGAACCAACCCAGTCCTATTTGGTGAAAACAGTGGCAGAAGTTATGAAGGGAAGTATAAACATTGCTCTTTGATGTGGATGAATGTTCAGTGGGAACAATAAAATTGGCCTGAGCAGACTCCTTCCTTATTAGGGAAGACAACATGGAAGCCAGATCTTGGATGTAGGAAACTCATTTGGTGATCAAACTAATCATTTAGTTAATAGATTTAGGAATATTCCAGAAGAAAATGATGATGCTGGTGCAGTATATATTGAGGAAACTCATTTGGTGATCAAACTAATCATTTAGTTAATAGATTTAGGAATATTCCAGAAGAAAATGATGATGCTGGTGCAGTATATATTGAATTTTAAAGCCTTTAGCTCCTGTGCCAGCAGTAGTTAATCAGAGAAATATATTTACATCATCAAAAAGGGAAACACTGCAAGGACCAGTTGTATAATACTTCCTCCTTCAAAAGATCTGACTTCTCAGAACATAAATAAATATAAGTGAGACAGTTCCCATTGATAATGAAGAGGATATAGAAACAGATTATAAGCAAAAGAAAAAAAAATCTTCCCATTTTCTTGAAAGAGGACTTCCTGGAATTAAAAATGCCAAAGATTTGGATTTCTCTGCTTCCAGTCTTTCAAGAAGTAAGACCAAGATTGTTGTTGTTGTAGTTGTTGTTAGGTGCCAAGTCGTAGATGACTCATAGCGACCCTATGAATGAAAGACCTGAGCGCTGTTCTTAGAGTTTCTGGAGGCAAGCTCTTTCAGAAGTGGATGCCACTCCTGCTTCCAAGCTTGTTTTAATTGGGAAAATCCACCAAACACTGTCCACCATGGGTAACCATTATCACATTTGGCACATCAGTATCACAGTGTTTAGCATCACAGCAACCACGAGTTACCTCTGTACAGCAATGCACAGACCAAAATTAGGACTTTTTAGTCCCGGTAGAATGAATGTGACAGGAGATATGATTAGCAGTGGCCTTACTTCGCAAGATTTTCCAGCTAAAATCACCTGTGCAAATGACAGCATTCCTTTACAGAAGGGGCAGACAGCTTACCAACAAAAAGGATCAGCTCACCTGTTTTATGCTACCACCTCCCTTTCCTCCTTCCCTCATAAGCTCCAAAGAAATGCAGTGCACTGCGTTTTAAAAAAAAAAAGTTTACTTACATAGAAGGCGAGTGGGGTTGGTCAAGTGAATTCTAGCAAATCTTTCCAAGAATTTTGTAGTGCATCTTCATTGTCTCCCTATGAAGACAAACAAAATCTTAGAAAAAGAGTTCTGAATAAATCTAGGTGTACAGTCTGTAATAAACAGAAGTCTGAAAAAGAAATAAAGTCAGGAAGGGTGTGCATCAGGGTTGTATCCTCTCCATATCTTCAATCTGTATGCTGAGCAAATAATTGATGAAGCTGGACTCGCTGAAGAATGTGGCATCCCATCAACATCCTGTGTTATGCAGACGACACAGTTTTGTTTGCTGAAATTGAGGATGCTATGAAATGCTTGGTGCAGATGATCAAAGACTACAGCATTCGGTATGGATTACATCTCAGCTTCAAGAAAAAGATCCTTACCACAGGATCAGCAGTCACCATTATGATAGATGGAGAAAGGATGGAAGCTGTCAATAATTTCATTTTACTTGGATCAACAATCAGCTCCCTTGGTAGCAGCAGTCAAGAAATCAGGAGATGTATTGCATTGGGCAAGTCTGCCGTCAGGGACTTCTCCAGAATGCTGAAGAGCAATGATGTCAGTTTGAAGGCTAAGGTGCACCTGATTCAAGCTATGGTCTTTTCAGTCACCTACTGTGCATCCCTCGGACAGAAGGATGACAGAAGAATTGATGTCTTTGAACTCTAGTGCTGGAGAGTAGTACTGAATGGACTGCTACAAAAAACAAACAGTATGTCTTGCAGAGGGTGCAGCCAGGTGGTGAAGCTTCATCTTTCATACTTGGACATGTAGATAAGCTAGGTGAGGCTCTTCTTGGAAAGGGACGTCACGCTTGGAAAGATGGAGGGTCAGTGAAGGAGAGGAAGACCTCCAACAAGATGGATTGGCACGGTGGCTTCAGCCTTGGGCTCGAGGTTACTGGAGATGGTGAGGACGGCCCAGGATAGGGCAGGGTTCGGGTCGGTTCTTCATGGGGTCGCTGTGTGACATATCTGACTTGAAGGCACCTAGCAACACTGTAAGCTATTACCCATCTGTTCTACACTGGAGTGTATTTGATTAGAAGTCATGTCCGTCTTTTGTCTTACTCATCAGTGCATCACTTCTTCCTGCAGGAAACTATATTGCCGTGGGAAACATGACCCCCGTTATTGAAGTGTGGGACCTTGATATAGTGGACTCTTTAGAACCAGTCTTCACACTCGGGAGTAAGCTATCAAAAAAGAAGAAAAAGAAAGGAAAGAAGGTAAATAATATAATAGATAATCTAAGCTCTAATACAAGTAAATAAATAGATTTTTTTTTTTAATAAGTAGGTATTTAGGCTCTGATGCAGCAGCCGTTGTGAGGATGAAATATAATTTTTTAAATCTTTGTACTTTAAATTTTAAGTATATTTGTGTTAATAATTCCTGTAGCTTTTTCAGTGGAGGGATAAGGAAATAGTATTTATAGAGTTAAACTACTATAGTTTCTTCTCTGTGAGGTGTAGATACCTTAGAAATCTAAACTCCCAGGGAGAAGGCATTTCTTTCTTGTGTCAGTTGCGTGGTATAAGATGAGAGAATGTGAATGCAAAAGAAAATAATGACAGACAATTGTTACAGGGTTCCTCAGCAGAAGCCCATACCGATGCTGTCCTTGACCTGTCTTGGAATAAACTCATCAGGTAAAAAGTAGCATTTGAAGGACTATAGAAGAAGGGAACCGTCGTAAGTTGACCTCATGCCTGCATCTCTCTCTGCATCCTATCTCAGGCCTGCGTCCATCGCTGGCCATGGTATACGCACTGCCTGAAGGGAGGAGCTGTGCTCCCATCTTTCTACCTCCCAGAGGAGATGCTTCATTTTTGCATAATAGCCAGTTTTCACATGATCTAATTTTTGGCCCAAGCATATCAGAGATTATGAGGATGGCACAGGATAGGCCCAGGTTCCAGTCTCTCATTCATAGAGTCACTTCAGTCACGCATAACTGACTCGATGGTACCCCAGGACAACCATGTTAAATGGGGAGAGCTATTGATCTGGGCTGTGGCGTTTTCCTCCATGGCAGTGCGTTTGAATGTGAACCATGTCAGACGTGAGGAGAGGGCTTGTCATTATAGCATTGATAGTTTAAACGGCTAAGGTAGAGAAGGTGAGCACGCGGTGGGGGACGGCTTGAGCGTACAGAGGAACAAGCTAGATTACGGGCGGCCTGCTTTCTTCACGCTTTGATCCTGTTGGACACCTGGGAATTATAAGCACTTTAGCAGAATCTCAGTGATAACTAACCACAGATATCTTATTTGTGCTCAGACTTATAGTTATTTGGGGAAATGAATCCAGGAAAGCTCCGTAGATTAGTGTTACCTAACCCTGGCTGCAAATCGGAAACTTCTCACTAAGCCTTTTTAAAGTGCAAACACGGGCCTCCCATCACACAGGATTGATTTCTGTGACCCACGAGTAGTTACCCAAGGATCTAATGGTCATGGTGGGTGGTTTTATTTAAAGCTTTCCCAGCAGATATGATGCTGCCAGTCATTTGGAGCCATTGAAAATACTACTGCTTGGACCAGGCTCCCCTTAGGGTTTAAACCGACATCCTTGCCTTTTAGTCCTTTAAAGAGGTCCCTGATGGCAGATTTGCAACACATCTTTGGATTTCTTTACTGTTGCCTCTGTGGGTGTTGATTGTGGATACAAGTGAAAGGAAGTCATTGATAATTGCAGTCTCTTGTCTGTCTCTCATGTTCTTACTTGTTATCAGTCTAGTTTTGAGGATTTTTGTTTTCTTCTTGTTGAGATGTAACCCATTCTGTAAGCTTCATCTTTGAGTTTCTTAAGTAAGTGCTTCAAGTCGTCTTGGTTTCATTGAGCGAGTTTGTGTTGTCCACATTATCACAGGTTCTTAATGAGTCTTCCTCCAATCCTGAGGGTACATTCTTCTTTAAGAAGATCCAGGTTCAGGGGAGCTCTGGTGGCCTAGTGGCAAGGAACTGCAACTACAGTCCCAGAGGCACACGGTTCAAACCCACCAGATGCTCTGCCGGGGAAGGAGGGACAATCTCCTCCT